TTCACTATTATTCCTTCTCTGGTTCTCTTCACATATACCTTGTCAATGATTACTGAAGCGCTGCACCTACCCCGCTGTTTTTATAATTAAGATTGTCCATTAAAACATTTTAAATCCAGCGGGTATTACAGTTACGCTTTGAATACTTGGTTTTGAAGATAAATAATATCCAATTTAGGTCTTTCAGCATTTTAGTAGATAGCTCCCTAATACCGTGGGAATTAGGGAGTTATCTACTAAGCGGCTGCAAGATGCTGCCACATCACGAATTGAATCGGAGTTTCATTCATTCGAATGAAATTCCGATACGAACAAAGTGCCGAATTGAGTTGTAAAATAAACGAAAATACTGTTCTCATTCAGTTAGAACGCAATTCGGCAGTTTCATCTAAAATGACAGGAAGCATCGCGAGATCACAGAGGAAAGGTAAGAATTATGGGAAAATAGCTCTGACCAGCGGAAATTAAGCACACTTTGCTCCTCCGCTGGTCCAGCGGAGGAAACCTCCATAAGGCAGCGAGTCCCTACTTTGTCTTATGATTTTAAAGAAAACTAAAGAAGACAGGAAGAAAAGAAGAACAGATTCTGAGAGAGGGGGAGAAGAGGAAGAGATTGAGGAAAGGTACGTTCGGCATGACAGTGCTGCTTTAAGTAAAAAAAAAAAAAATACCCCTTTTTACCCAGTCCAAATAAAAATTAACCCCTTCCCTGCCAGTCGATCACTGCAGTGATCAAAGTACAAATCACAGTATTATACGGTGATCTAATTTTTTATTATCCTGAGGATTAACTTTTATTTATTTTTTAACCCTCAGGGGTTCAGTTTATTTAATTAATTAATTTAAATATTTCATAATTATATATTTTGCTAACTGGGGTGGGTGGAAGTTATGGGAAAGTGGGGAATTTACTGTTAGTGCTGCTTACTGCTAGTTAGGGGTTAACAGTAAAAAAAAAGCTTATAAAAATGTTAAATCTGTAAAAAAAAATAGCTTTAAGAAAGTTTAGTAAAGTAAAAAAAATTAATAAGCAAAGATAAAGTTTAAAAACTAGTTTTAAAAAGTAAAACGATATATTTAAAAACGCTCATTACTACTACACCTGCAACAAACTAGATAAAAAATGATCCTATGCTAAGGTTCAAAATACGCCTTTTGAATGACCCCAGGGTGTATTCTTTAATAAATAGTATGTGTTTGTGGGAAAGTTTCAATAACCAACCATCTAAACTACTCCAAAATGGAACATGGACACATGGAGCGTAAAAATAAAAAGTTAGAAAAAAAATGAAAAGTTAGAAAAAAAATGAATGGCTGCGTCTCAAATGTGCCCTTTCAACATCCACATATACCTGGCAAAGGTACATACGGGGGTATTGCTGTACTCAGATGACATAGCTGAGCAACATATGAAGTATTATACAGTCGTAGCACACATACGATTTGCAAAATATACTGTGCTGCACACTCACTTAGTGTGTCAAATAGGCAGAAAAAACGCTCATTACCACACTTGGTACAAGCTAGCGGAAAAATTATGCCACGCTAAGGTTCAAAAAATGCCTTTTGAAAAACCCTGGGATGTGTTCTTTAAGAAACGGTATTCCTTTATGGTGTAGTTGTAATATGTAGCCTGCTCAAGTGCTCCAAAGTGGGACACGGACGCATCAAAACCCTGCATGAAAATTCACACTTAAAAACCTGATCTTGTCACGTCTCTTTTACAGCACTGTAACTTCACAAAATAGATAGTGTCTAGGGCGTATTGTTTTACTCAGAAGACTTTGCTGAGCATAATTTGGGGTGTTTGAACTTAGTGGCACATAGGAAATATACAAAATGCCCATCAAAAACGTAATCTGTATGTAAAAATGTGATGTCTACTTTATATAAATATATACTTTTGTGTGGCAATTTTGTTTTCTTTTATGGCTATTAAGTTTACAAGACAAACTTACCAAATTCTAAAATCGCTCCACATTAGAAGTTTATTTTACTCCTTGTGCTTTGTGACCTGTAACTACCAAAAAAAACTTAAAATCCCAGACACATTATATATTCTGTAAATCAGAACAACTAAATGAATGTATTTTTAATTACTTTCCTTAACCTGCACTAATTATGCACACATTATTATTGCAAAAACTGTAAAAAAAAAAAAACGCAAACGTTTTCTTTTTTTTTTGCATTTTTCTGTATTTTTTATAATAAATAAGCATTTATATATCTATATATATATAGATATATAAATGCTTATTTATTATAAAAAATGCAGAAAAATGCGAAAAAATGAGTTTGCGTTTTATTTACAGTTTTTGCAATAATAATGTGTATATTATATATTTGAAGGCTTGGCCTGGAATTGTGGGAGGGGCTTGGTTCACCTTTAAAAGGGCTGCCAATCCACTCCCACCTTACCGTTGCTGGTCTCGCGAGTCTGAAACGTTACTTCCGGTTCAGACCGCCATCTTGGATTTTTTCCTTACCTGTTCCCTCGTGGTCTCCTGGTCCGGGCTCCCCAGGCTCTCCTTACCGCCGCCGGCGTCTGCACACCTCGCTCGGTGCTTCCTCTCCACAAAAACCGTAAGTCAGGCTCGCCCTGCTTTACACGGCGGTGCCCCGATCGGTTCAAATCTACGTTCGGTTCGTTCTATCATATCACTATTGCATTCGTCTTAATGCTTCACTCTGCTATTCGCGTGTTTCACAAGTTCAAACTAACGAAGGATATCATTCGGTTAAATCATACTTAAACATCATTCGGTTGGTTTCTCAGGTTAATTATGGTGTATCTATTCGGTTGTTACTATACTCTACATAGCTCGTTCGGCAGCTACACTAACTCCCGTATTAAACACAAATTCAGCCAGTACTACAAGGGAATTTCACCCCTACTGGTTACAAATGTTATTGCAGAAAATCTATTTTGAATAAGAATATTGTTAAACAAGTTGATGGGTCCTGATTATCTGAATCTGTTTTTCTCCACAGAGTCATCCCAGTGGTTCGTACTGGGAATTGTGAAATCTGTCATTGGTATCAATTTTCTTATAGGTTGGTTATTGTTTAAATTATGTGTTATGAAGTCCAATGATACACATTACATTAGTTAAGCATGTATTTTACTTTTTTAGGTTGTTTGCCTTCAAAACGGTAGCTTTTACAAGCACGGAAAACCGTCATCAATTTCCTTAAATCTACCCTCTGCAGTGTCGGGTAGGTTACTTGTTTTTTTTTAGGGCCCACGATCTGGCCATAACACTACGTTTATTCACACGTTCATATATCGAATCTCATATCCAACAGGTAATCATCTCGAGACTCTTACAGTCCCTGGTTACTTCTACCTCGACAGCGCAACCTGACTCACATATCAGGTACTACGCCAGAACCCAATATTTTTTTTTTCTTCCCTCTACCATGTTCTGAGGGGTACTGGTCCTATGACCCAACTAGGTAAAAGTTTCTGGTCTTAATCCATAGGCTAGTGGTCCCGCGAGACCAACACCCCTCTCCTCATACTTGGAGGAATACGCCCCTCGGGCCAAATCATAGCTAGCCGTCTCGCATTGACGCATAGAGAGGGCCTCACCTGTCACTCCCAATCTATCTTATGCTTTAACTACCACCGAGAGGCCAACACCCCGCCACAACGTTCGGTGGCCTCATACGTTCCCCTCGGGCCCACGCATAGGGAGCGCCTCTCAGGCCGCTTGGCAATTAGTAGTGACTCATCTGTCACCATCCATAAGTATAATTGTTTAGCTGCTTGGCATTTAGCTAGCCTTACCAGTACCCACCCAAAAATAAAACATTACAGAGTGACTGATTAAGCTTACTTATATTTTTCAGTTATGTCTAATAATCCTGATATCCCCGAGGAACTCTCGCTACCCTGCACTCCCGCTAGTCCTGCTTCTCTCAGATCATGGACCATCCAACGTTTCATGGCAGAACTTAGAAGACGCAGCATCCCTTTCCCAGCTACTGCTAGGAAAGCCGAGTTGTTCAGACTTTTGAATACAGGTACTGACAACTCTGATGCAGGGGAAGGCCCTAGTGGCACACAATTGCCAACATTTCACGCCATGATGACCTCGCTCATGTCATCCATCAGCACAATTAATGACAGACTGAATAAATTGGAAACAAGTGGTACTAAACAGACCGCTACGAACCCAATTGCGGCCAGTCACCCTCTGGCTGACATGACTGGTAATACTTTGGAATCAGGGTCTCTTAGTGAAGATATTAACCCCTCACACATGGTCCCATCTCACCTTAAAAAGGACATTCTGGAAGGCAAGGATGTCAACCTGGTGTCATTGCTTATAGCCTCCCAGGATGTCCTAGAGAATAGGACTTTTGCATATGGGGATCTGTCGTACTAAGGTCTAGAGACCCTAGACTAAATTAAAAACTGTCAATACCTGAATTTGTACTGGGTTTTGGGATTTATAGGGATGTGTACTGCTCAGTATACCCAGGGAAAAGAGCAGAGCTGGATGCATACATGCACAAGATGGTGGACCTGGGGCACAAATACGGTGGTACCACTTTTTACGATTACCACCGTTCCTTTTCTGCAAAGGTGGCTGCTGCTCTGGCTCAGTTCAATTTAAGCATTAATTGGAGCAAATTGGACACTGAGTTATTCTGCAGGCATTTTGCAGGCCTCAGGCCTCCAGCATGTGCAGTATGCTCATCTACAGCACATCACACTAATCTCTGCCCTAACACAGCCGAGATAGAACAGAACCAATCTTCCCCTAACTTTCCTAACGCTACCAAGGGATTAAAAGACAAGCTGGGCAGAGACATTGTATTCCTGGGTAAATCTCAGATATGCAATAATTTCAATGTGGGCAATTGTGGTTTTAGTTCATGTAGACTGATGCATGTGTGTTCACACTGTTTGAGAGCCCATGCCAAAACCATGTACCCAAATAAAGCATTCCCAAAACCGTATCACACGTGTGTGAACGTCAATTTATTGACATCACTTTTACAGCCACATCCTTCACGTCATTTCACTGAATATATTATTTTGGGCATGACCAAGGGTTTTCACACCGGGTTGGTCCATTTACCCTCCGGTACACTGGAATGCGACAACCTACAGTCCACATTAGACGATCCACAGTTGGTAAATACACTTATCTCAACTGAGCTGGAGCAAGGGTTTCTGTTGGGACCATTCTTTTCCCCACCCTTCACGTCCTGGAGAACCAATCCTATAGGGGTGGTTACAGGGAAGACCTCACTTAAACCCAGACTGATAATTGATCTATCAGCACCACACTCCTCCACTATCCCCAGCCTAAACTCTCTAATACCTTCTGAAGAATTTTCACTTCACTACGCCGCTATCGACCATGCCATAGGGGCCATCATACAAGCAGGTACGGGAGCATGGCTGAGTAAAACAGACGTGGTAAACGCCTTCAAGCTACTACCCATACACCCTTCCCTGTGGCATCTACACGGTATTAAATGGTAAGGGAGGTATTATTTTTTCACCCGACTTACTTTCGGCTCCAAAAGCAGTCCACGTATTTTTGACACGTTTGCAGAGGCTCTATGTTGGCTCTTACTAAATGTGTGCAAGTGCCCTTCGGTTATCCATTATCTGGACGATTTCCTCTTGATTCAGAATAACACTCTTCCACCTAGTAGTATGAATCACTTATTGGCACTGTTTGAATCTCTTAACATTCCTGTCTCTCCTCACAAAACTTTGGGTCCAGATACCTACATGCAATTTTTGGGCATACAACTAGACACGATAAACATGCAGGCCAGTATACCTCAGGACAAGACTGAGCGTACCCTGGCAAGTATTGAACATTACCTGCTACAAGGTCATTGCAATCGGAAAGAACTCCAGTCACTACTTGGATAGCTCAATTTTGCCATGAGGATCATACCCCAAGGTAGATCTTTTATATCCCACCTGTTATCCTTGTTTCCACTGTTTTCTTCAGACACTTCACATATCATATTAGATGTACACGCAACTTCTGATTTACGCATGTGGCGGGTCTTTCTCACCTCTTGGAACGGGCGAACCATGTTTATACCACCCCCATCCGACACATCACCTACATTATGGACGGATGCCGCAGCTAACACAGGCTTTGCCGCCATCTGCGGTGACCAATGGCTTTGGGGCCCTTGGCCGACCGAAGTCGAATCACTACCCAAATTTTCTGACACCTCGGCTTTATTTGAGTTGTACCCAATCATGGCGGCAGCCATTGCTTGGGGACCATATTGGTCTGGCCACACGGTCAGGTGCTACTCGGATAACCTGGCTACATGCCACATTGTGAACAAAGGCCGGTCGGCATCACTGGTCATTATGAGACTGCTAAGGCGTCTCACATGGGTAGCAGCCACTTGTCAATTCATTATAACTTGCATACACATCCCGGGTTACACAAACACTGCTGCTGATCACTTGTCTCGGTTTCTTTTCCAGGCTTTCCTCTCGTCACTACCCAACGCTTCCAGACGAGCGACACCTGCACCTCTTTTCCAAGACATGATCATGGATTAAAGACCTTGTTAGATCACGCACGTCACATTTCTCATATGGCACTCTCAGTAAACACTAGGGACACTTATGATAGGGCCTTTCACGTATTCAAAAAATTTATCACCGAGTTTCACATTCACGACATGTTTGCATTAGAGACGATTTGGGGGTTTACCTCTTTTTGCCACATTAACCTTAAACGATCCTTCAATACTATTAAACTGTACCTTACCGGCATACAACACCATACAGGGAGTGCAGAATTATTAGGCAAATTAGTATTTCGACCACACCCTCCTCTTTATGCATGTTGTCTTACTCCAAGCTGTATAGGCTCGAAAGCCTACTACCAATTAAGCATATTAGGTGATGTGCATCTCTGTAATGAGAAGGGGTGTGGTCTAATGACATCAACACCCTATATCAGGTGTGCATAATTATTAGGCAACTTCCTTTCCTTTGGCAAAATGGATCAAAAGAAGGACTTGACAGGCTCAGAAAAGTCAAAAATAGTGAGATATCTTGCAGAGGGATGCAGCACTCTTAAAATTGCAAAGCTTCTGAAGCGTGATCATCGAACAATCAAGCGTTTCATTCAAAATAGTCAACAGGGTCGCAAGAAGCGTGTGGAAAAACCAAGGCGCAAAATAACTGCCCATGAACTGAGAAAAGTCAAGCGTGCAGCTGCCACGATGCCACTTGCCACCAGTTTGGCCATATTTCAGAGCTGCAACATCACTGGAGTGCCCAAAAGTACAAGGTGTGCAATACTCAGAGACATGGCCAAGGTAAGAAAGGCTGAAAGACGACCACCACTGAACAAGACACACAAGCTGAAACGTCAAGACTGGGCCAAGAAATATCTCAAGACTGATTTTTTCTAAGGTTTTATGGACTGATGAAATGAGAGTGAGTCTTGATGGGCCAGATGGATGGGCCCGTGGCTGGATTGGTAAAGGGCAGAGAGCTCCAGTCCGACTCAGACGCCAGCAAGGTGGAGGTGGAGTACTGGTTTGGGCTGGTATCATCAAAGATGAGCTTGTGGGGCCTTTTCGGGTTGAGGATGGAGTCAAGCTCAACTCCCAGTCCTACTGCCAGTTCCTGGAAGACACCTTCTTCAAGCAGTGGTACAGGAAGAAGTCTGCATCCTTCAAGAAAAACATGATTTTCATGCAGGACAATGCTCCATCACACGCGTCCAAGTACTCCACAGCGTGGCTGGCAAGAAAGGGTATAAAAGAAGAAAATCTAATGACATGGCCTCCTTGTTCACCTGATCTGAACCCCATTGAGAACCTGTGGTCCATCATCAAATGTGAGATTTACAAGGAGGGAAAACAGTACACCTCTCTGAACAGTGTCTGGGAGGCTGTGGTTGCTGCTGCACGCAATGTTGATGGTGAACAGATCAAAACACTGACAGAATCCATGGATGGCAGGCTTTTGAGTGTCCTTGCAAAGAAAGGTGGCTATATTGGTCACTGATTTGTTTTTGTTTTGTTTTTGAATGTCAGAAATGTATATTTGTGAATGTTGAGATGTTATATTGGTTTCACTGGTAATAATAAATAATTGAAATGGGTATATATTTGTTTTTTGTTAAGTTGCCTAATAATTATGCACAGTAATAGTCACCTGCACACACAGATATCCCCCTAACATAGCTATAACTAAAAACAAACTAAAAACTACTTCCAAAAATATTCAGCTTTGATATTAATGAGTTTTTTGGGTTCATTGAGAACATGGTTGTTGTTCAATAATAAAATTAATCCTCAAAAATACAACTTGCCTAATAATTCTGCACTCCCTGTATGCTCATCCAACAACCTAACAGTACTGCTTTTCTAACCTCATACCAAATTAAAACATTACTTAAAGGCATTAAAAAATTAGAAACACATGTTCCCTCACAAAGACTACCTATAGACAACACTCTCTATCCACCCTATTAGATTCATCTCCTTTCGAACCCATGACAAATAGCAAAACAGCACTATATCTTGCTTTCTATGGGTTCCTCCGGCCTAGCGAATTCACAACCACAACCATCAACGCACCTGACTACCTTAGAACCAATGATCTCCAGAAACATCCCAACCATTATATTCTCTCTCTAAGACAATCAAAAACCAGCACCGACGGACACAGTATTCAGATACCCCTGTTCCCTACTCACAATATATGGTGCCCAGTTAAAGTGTTAGACACTTATTCACTTTCAGTCCACAAACAACCTCAACAGCCTTTGTTTGAACTGCATGGACACACTCTGACCACAGCTAAATTCATGCTATACATAAGACTTCTGTTAACCAGGCTCGGCCTAAACTCCAATCAATTTTCAGGCCACTCTTTCCGTATAGGAGCAGCATCTTCTGCATCCGCTAACCACGTCCCCGCTCATATTATTAAGGTCATGGGGCGATGGAAATCCTCCGCCTACACACTCTACATACCCAATCCTGTTAAAGAATTAAGACAAGCTTTTTGTGACTTATCTCAATAAACGAAGTTGGTTCACGAATTATGTTTTCTGGTTATTTTCTTTTTGCCCACTTTTATTACAGGCCTACTGCTCTGTCGGTTCCGGCACACCACAACTGACAGGTGCCTACTCATAGATGTTATGATTGTATTGTGCTAAGATTTCTCTGTTCGGCTAAATTGCCCCGACTACAAATTTGAAGGCTTGGCCTGGAGTTGTGGGAGGGGCTTGGTTCACCTGTAAAAAGGGTTGCCAATCCACTCCCACCTTACTGTTGCTGGTCTGGCGAGTCACCCCTCCCACCGCTCCCTCTACTTATAACACCCTCTAAGGTGGGCCCACTTTTATTACAGGCCTACTGCTCTGTTGGTTCCGGCACACCACAACCGACTGGTGCCTACTCATAGATGTTATGATTGTAGTGTGCTAAGATTTCTCTGTTCGGCTAAATTGCCCCGACTACATATATATATATATATATATATATATATATAAATACAGTTGCAAGAAAAAGTATGTGAACCCTTTGGAATGATATGGATTTCTGCACAAATTGGTCATAAAATGTGATCTGATCATCATCTAAGTCACAGCAATAGACAATCACAGTCTGCTTAAACTAATAACACACAAAGAATGAAATCTTGCCATGTTTTTATTGAACACACCATGTAAACATTCACAGTGCAAGTGGAAAAAGTATTGCTATGGTTAGAATCGCCAGAGTAACGGTGTTGGAGAAGGTGCGCATACACTTATATAGTAAGGTTCAGGTTCATTTGGCAAATATTGGAGTTTATATACTTACGTTGGAGTTACAAAACATGATGGAAGGGCCTTGGCTGTGGGGGACCTCAGCTGGGGTTGTGTCATAGTATTGATTGCAGAGGGCTCCCTATCTTTGTAGACGCTCAAGTCAGACATGACCTAGCTGTTTCCCACCAGGCGATGCCTCAGAAACTAGGCAAGGGCTTTAGAGGCAGGATGACTGTAACAGGCGGGGGAGGGCAAGCACCCACACACCTACATCCACCCCCCCCCCCAACCCCCCACCGGGGAAAGGTTCAAGTGGATACAACTGCACAACCAGCACTTCCACATAAAGGGGCACAAAGTGATGGGAGGCATGTAAGCAAAAAAGGGGCTCAGAGAGATGGGGAAGATCAGATACCTAAGACACGGAGGAAAACCGCAGGACAGGCAAAGGGTCATTCACACCCCCTCCCTCAGGACACACCTATACAGATCAGCAGACAGGCTCACAGGAGCCGGTGATCGTCACACCCTATGTCGTAAACACCCACGACAAGTTAGACACAAGTTTAGAGCCTCGCGGGGGTGCTCTGGGGCTGTACACCCGCCCCATTTGAGACACTTCTTGACACGGCGGGTGACCACCCCCGATCGACCTGGCGAGAGATAAGACCAGGATATCAGATCCGACAGGTATACAGATCACGGAGGGACATCCTCCACTAAGTTGGGTTAACTGTTTTATGGGTTATGTTACAAAGATATCAATATGTGTTTTCATGACCTGTTTTCTTTCCTTTCCCGCCCTCGCCCACGATTCCGCTGAGACAAGGCACATTCGGCAACCACCCCGGGGGGACCGCCGGGCGGCGCGCGACAACAAGGCGGACACACCATACTATGCACCAACAATGCAAAGATGCCCAAGGTACACCAGCACACCACCCGCATTGTCACATGGAACTTAAAATTACATCACTCAACGTAAACGGCCTTAATGTGCCAAACAAACGCAGACTCTTACTCAGGGAACTACATAAACAGAAGGCAGACATAGCGTTCATACAGGAAACCCACCTCCCTAAGACCTCCAAGATTCAAATCATAGACCACATATATATGAAAACATACGCGGCCTGCACGCTCCGTAAAACAAAGGGAGTAGAAATAGTCATCCACAAACGATGCCCACTGGTAATACAGTCCATACACAGAGACACGGATGGACGGTATATAATACTCACGGGAATGATCAACGCCACCACATACCACCTCATAAACGTATATGCCCCTAACATCCCTGACGCCCACTTCTGGACAACCCTGGAAAAGCTCATAAACTCACTGACGGGGGGCATACTGATCCTAGGGGGGGACCTGAACGCAGCGCCGTGTCCTGCGGTCGACCGCAGTGGCAAACCGGGTCAACCCAGATCACAGGGTAGAGGAGGACAGGATCGCTTACTAAACAAATTTCTACAAAACACTGGGCTTCTGGATCCCTGGCGGTTGCAACACCCAGACACACTAGACTATACCCACTATTCAGCAGTACACTCCACTTACTCCCGAATAGACATATTCCTTACAAATCACAAGGTATGAGATGGGTCAAGTCGTCCGCCATAAATATGATATCGTGGTCAGACCATGCTGACATTGCCCTGACCCTACAAACACTGGGGCCTCGGGCCCCCTGGAGGTGGAGGCTTAACAACTCCCTCCTTAGAGACCAAGAAACCCTAGAGCTACTTAAGACAGAAGTAAACAAGTACTTTGAATTAAACACCACGGTAGGAATATCCCCCACTATGACATGGGCGGCCCACAAAGCTGTCCTGCGGGGGAACCCTAATAAAAATAGCGACACGTAATAAAAAACAAAAAATGGAAAAACTAACTGAACTACAGAAGGCCCTCCGTAAAGCGGAAATGCAACACAAACAGAATCCGACACAGCCCACACTAGATGACATACAAAACATCAGACATGCGCTGAAGAATCTCCTCTTGGATGAGGTAAGCAGAGATATCACCCGATCGAGAAGACTTTTTTACGAAAAGTCCAATAAAATGGACACATTATTAGCTAGAGCCCTCAGACCCAAACAAAAACATAAACACATCACATCCATAACCAACGAAAGGGGCCAACCCCTCACTTCCCCACAGGACATAGCCGAGGAATTCACCAATTTCCTACGGCAACTATACAATCACTCCCCGGAGAAAGATGAAACCAACAGGGAACATGTAGAGGCAGTCGCAAACTTCCTGGACAGCATAAACCTACCCAAGCCAACTAGGGAAGACCAAATAGACCTAGAGTCACCAATTACGATAGAAGAAGTAGACAGGGCCATAGGGTTGATAGAGGGCAATAAGACACCGGGACCAGATGGGTTTGACGGGGCCTACTATAAAGCACTGCGCACAGAATTAGCACCTCACATGACAACAATGTACCAGGAATGGATGGAGGGGGGACGTCCCAATGCAGAGCTCGCCACGGCGAACGTGGTTCTTATCCAGAAACCGGGACGGGACGAAACGAAGGTGAACAATTACCGCCCCATCTCCCTGATCAATGTAGACTCCAAAATCTACGCCAAGATCCTGGCCACCAGGCTGGGTCACATTCTGCCCAGGCTGGTCCACGCGGACCAGGTGGGCTTTGTGCCAACTCGGCAACTGTATGAGAACACTAGACGTGCAGTGGACCTGATCTGGTGGGCCGGAAAAACTCGGATGCCTTCTCTTGTCCTATCGCTGGACGTGGAGAAGGCCTTCGACAGGATCCAATGGTACTACTTATTCGCCCTATTGCGTCACATAGGCCTACTGGAAAACTACATCACAGCGGTCAAAGCACTGTACACCAACCCACAGGCCCAAATAGCCATACCAGGAGCGATCCCAAAACCATTTCAGCTAAGTAATGGCACAAGGCAGGGCTGCCCTCTCTCGCCGCTCCTCTTTATACTAACCCTAGAACCCCTCCTCTACAAGATTAGGGGACACCCAAACATAAAGGGACTGGCAACAGAGCAGTATAAAGTATCTGCGTACGCGGATGACATCCTGCTCACTCTCACGGACTTGGAGAACTCCCTCCCGAGTCTAGTCCGGCTGCTAGAGGAGTTCGCCCATGTAGCAGGCTATAAAATAAAAATGGAAAAATCAGAAGCCATGCCATTGGGGTTGACGGCGGAAGACACGGCGCTGATAGGGAGGACGGCACATATAAAGCTAACCTACCAACATATAAAATACTTGGGGGTCAAACTAATAAAAGAGGTCTCACGACTGTATACGGAAAACTACACACCAATGATTAAAACAATAACAAAAGACCTAGAAAAATGGCATCAGAAGCCGATCTCATGGATAGGTTGCCTCCACACAATTAAAATGAATGTATTACCGAAGATGCTGTTCCTCTTCCAGGCACTGCCCCCGAAAGTCACAAAAGTCCCAATCCCTACAAACCAACATAGACCAATTTATATGGGCACACAAAAGACACAGGATAGCCCGACACATACTCTACTGACCAAAGGGACTAGAGGGACTGGGACTTCCCAATCTTCACCTGTCTTACCTGTCGGCACAGCTAGCCCAAATAATAGAGTGGCACTCACCCCCAGATAGACGCAGATGGGCAGATCTAATGCTCTCCATTAGTCTAAAGGGTAATCCAGACGTGGACCCCTTGCTCACGGTGCCTAGAGAGATATCAGCTATGCCTCACTGACGATGCCTAACAAGGCTGAAACGATCGTCTGGGGTTGCTGTATCTCTCGTGCAGAGAGAACTTGCTGGCATTTCGGATCTGGACTGCCCGTATGGGTGGGACCAGTCTGATATGCTTCAGATATGTTCTCTCTGTAATGGCACAAGTTGAGCTAAAACCAGCTTGAGTTCTGAGCGGGGACCCACCGAAGGGCAGGCTATTTTAGCTGCTGTCCGTCCTCAGAATACTCTTGCGACCTATTTTTTGCTCTCCATTAGTCTAAAGGGTAATCCAGACATGGACCCCTTGCTCACGGTGCCTAGAGAGATATCAGCTATGCCTCACTGACGATGCCTAACAAGGCTTAAACGATCATCTGGGGTTGCTGTATCTCTCGTGCAGAGAGAACTTGCTGGCATTTCGGATCTGGACTGCCCGTATGGGTGGGACCAGTCTGACATGCTTCAGATATGTTCTCTCTGTAATGGCACAAGTTGAGCTAAAACCAGCTTGAGTTCTGAGCGGGGACCGACCGAAGGGCAGGCTATTTTAGCTGCTGTCCGTCCTCAGAATACTCTTGTGACCCATTTTTTGCTCTCCAGATGGGCAGATCTTGAATCCCTAGTGATGGGAAGAGACCTTCCCTAGTACTGGATCTGGGTACCAAAAGCAGACAGACCACCCTTACTCACAGACTGCCCAGCTATACTCAACTCCATTAAAATATGGGACGCCAACGCTCAAAAATACGCTCTAACTAGAATGCCCTCACCTCTCACCCCATATTTGAGAAATAGGGCATTCACACCAGGTATGCGGGCGAGGGACTTCAAAGGTCTGGAATACACAGGCCTGTAGAGATACTATCACCTATACGACAGAGACACATTCAAAACCTTTGACGAACTAAAACAGGCAGCGCCACTACAGACGAGAGACCTTTTCAGATATATACAACTACGGGACTTCGCTAGCCATCCTAGAGTAAAAGAGGTAGCTAAGGCTCCAATGAAAATGCAGAACCCCTCACCTATATCACCCAATGGGAGAAAGATCTACAACAAACACTGGAAGGGGAGGACTGGAGGGATATATAGGAAGCGACGGCCAAAGTCTCCATATGCGTAACACTTCAGGAACAGACATATAAAACCCTCCTGAGGTGGTACGCCACCCCGGCCAAACTATATAGAATGGGGAAAACCACCACAGATACTTGCTGGAGAGGCTGTGGTGAGAGAGGATCATACATCCACATGTGGTGGACATGCCCCAAGGTAGAGAGATTCTGGTCGGAAATAGAGACATTAATGACAGCAGTCCTGAGAGACCAATGCACAGAGACCCATTGACATTTTTACTAGCCAAACCACAAGATGACCTGACGACAAAAGAACAGAAACTAGTTAACAAACTGACCTTAGCAGCCAGAAGAGCACTGACCCAGGAAAATAACAATAACTACGAGACTAATAGAATAACAGGTTATGATACAAAGTTTTAGAAGTTTGTGTTACCTTAAGGAAAACACCAAATATGGTGTTTCCAGGTTTTGAAGTTTATTGTGTTTATGAAAATGGAAAAACACTGATGGACTGCAGCTTCAGACAACAACGCAGAAAGTAGGGGCTTCCGAACAACAAATGTATACCTAACAAAACTATTATCTTTTTTCAGTATCACTTAAATACCAATGTACCTCTTGATGCTAGGCTTATGCACAAGCCCCAATATTGTTTACAAGCTATAATGTCTGTCAATGCAAAAATAAAGAATTCTAAAAAAAAATTTTTAAAAATTGAATCTTTATGCTGACGATGTGATAGTGACCCTAGAAGATCCCAAAAACTCACTAGAAGAATTAGTTAGGTCTTTGAACCAATTTTCAAAGGTATCTGGTTATAAACTTAATTTTGATACAACCACAGCTATAATAAGTAACATTTCATTAGAAACTAGAAAATCTTTAACATCTAAATATAAATTTGATTGGGCATTGAGTATTAAATATTTGGGTATCTTTGGTTCAGACCCAGATAAACGTTTTGCTTTTACTTAAACAAACATCTTTCCCTCTGCGTAATTCCTAATTTCTGGACTGGTAGGGGTGCCTTAAGGACTGCTTTGGGAACCACGGTTGTATCTGATTGATTTATAAACACATTTATTGTATTTCAAAGACGTATTAATTGCATGCCTCCCAACTGTCCTGATTTAGATTTTTTAGCCCTGTCCCACTTTTTTCCTGCCTCAAATCTTCACTTGTAGTGTAAAATTACATGCTACCTGCCTGGAGACACAGTCTGTGCTGTGTGGAGTCAGACGCAGGAGCAGTGGTGGCTGGTGAAGTTTAAGATGGTGGGGCACCAGACTCCTCCCACAGAATTTTACTTCTCTCTATACAGAGTGCTAAGCATAATATAGAAATGCTCATACAATAAAATAGCTGGGCACAACATAAAAATATCTATAAAATACTTAGAACTGAATACAATAGAGAGATAACCATACCACAAAAAATAGAGATGTAATACTCAAAGCTGGGCACAACACAAAGATACCTATACAAAACACAGAGCTGGTTAGACTACAGAGATACCCATGCAACAGGTAGAGCTGAGTAAGATATAAATAAATACACTGAGCAGGGCACAATAAGGAGAAGCTCATAAGTGTGAAATGCTTTAGCTTTCTCTCTATCTTCCTATCTCTTTCTTAGATTTCCCTAATAAATCTCATCTTCAGTAGTGCTCCTGCTATAACTTTAACTTTCTATTAAATATTGTTGCTGTTATGAAACATGTCCACTCTTCCATTAGCTCTCAGCACACAGTATGCACATGGTTAAAGCATAAAGATACTGAGAGACTCTCAGCACACAGGCTTAAAGCAGCACAATACTGATACACTCCTTTACCTTTGCAGCTGGCAATATAATTAAGCTGCAGTGCTGATATGGATCCAAGAATTAGTAGACATGGTTAACAGAATCAACAATCATTATAGAATAAAACAGACTGAAATCAGATCATTCATCAGAGTCATTGCCCCAGTCCTTTAGTTTGATGGTTCACAACCTTTCAACTAGCCACATCATCAGTAGGATGACTGAGAACTTTAAAGAAGATGATGGGTATGTGCAGTAGGAGTTATTAAAACTATTAGTGACAGGCAGCAGAGTGCTCTGTGTCAGAAAAGTCCCCCTCCCATTGTTACCCATGGGCTTCCCTCCCTGGCCTTACATATATTAATTATATTAATATTTTAGTAAATTACCCTGCTAAATCAGCCCTCAGGAACTCACCAGGGCTATTGTGGAAGAGAACAAGATAACATTATACACTGACATTAGGTAGGGGCCAGGAGCTGCTGTTGCTGTGCTCTCTCTGCGTTACTTACAAGACGACTTCTTGCTTCTCTCTCCTGTGAGCACTGTAACCCCGCCACCTGGTGCTATCAGTCAATGATGGCCCCTGAATAGGGAGGCCAATAGCATGCCTCCACTTATAGGCAGCTGGCTATACTGCCTGAATATTGTCAGGACTAGCCTGACCCCAGTGCACAAACATAGGCATATACAAAGAAGGTATGCATACTGGTCCTTAGAGTGGCTGGGCTACCACTGAGAGATAAGTCAGAATGTCTGCAAGCAGACACAGAATAAACATTAACAAGGGAAGGTCAGATATAATAGAGGTACATAGAAACCAGAAACAAGTCAAGGTCATGCTTACATAGATCAAAAATGGTAAGAAAATTAAATAATAAGTAATATATAACGTGCTCTTGGGTAAACAGAAACCACGACAGGGCAATGAACTAAGAACAAGCAGGAAGTTAAATACCCTATACTGTGTAGTGATTAGTTATGTATCAGAGATGTCATGAGAAAATGACATGTCATAGAAAGGCGCCATGTCTCTTTTGATAGTCATGGGAAAAATAAAGTACATCCTCTTTGAATTCTATGGTTTTACATATCAGGACATAATAACAATCAAGTGTTCCTTAGCAGATCTTAAAATTAGGTAAATACAACTTCAGATAAACAACACCACCTGACATACTACATAGTGTCATGATTTATCTAACAAAAATAAAGCCAAAATAGAGAAGCCGTGTGTGAAAAACTAAGTACGCCTTCAATAGCTTGTAGAACCATATTTAGCAGCAATAACTTGAAGTAGTCGTTTTCTGTATGACTTTATCAGCCTCTCACATCATTGTGGAGGAATTTTGGCCCACTCTACTTTACAACGTTGCTTCAGTTCATTGAGGTTTGCTGCCATTTGTATATACACAGCTCTCTTAAGGTTCCACCACAGCATTTCAATCGGATTGAGGTCTGGACACCTTGGTGTCATGACTCTCACCGTGACATCCAGACGACCAGACGTGGTTGCTCCAGAAGTGCCCAACAGGGGATTTGAACTGTGGTCCATCTGTGTCCTGGTCTTGCTGCCTTGCCTCTGTTTTCAGCCTGATGTTTATTCCTGCCTTATCTCCAGCACTGGGGGCTGGATTTTACCTGTGGCTGCTCCTATCAGTCTCAGCCCACCTGTAGTTTATGCCTCATTAGCCAGTTATAAGACACTTCCTCTCCCTGAGGGCAGTGCCAGTTCATGGACTCTGGTTCCTGTATTGGTGTTTGTGTTCCAGTGTTCTCCAGTTGGCTCCTGACCGTGGCTTGCTATTCATTTATCCTGACTTCTGGCACCCTCTGATCTTTGGCATACTCTTGTTTATCCTGACTCCTGGCACCCACTGACCTTTGGCTTACCCACGACGATTCTCCTGCTTATGTCCGTATTTGTACTGCGACTTGGAGCATTATCCTGCACACAAACCTAAGCTATGCAACCCTGGCAACCCTTCCAAACAAACCATACTTATTTTCAGTCTTTTTTTTTAATTCTGTCATTAACTTTAATTTTTAACATGCTAACTAAGGCCTCTAGAGTCTGAAATGTAACTCTTGGGTTTTTTGCAATTTCTCTGAGAATTGCACGGTCTGACTTTGGGGTAAATTTGCTGGGACATGCATTCCTGGGAAGATTGGCAACTGTCTTGTATGTTTTCCATTTTCGAATAATCTTTCTCATTGCAGAGTGATGGACTTTACGTGGCCTTATAACCCCTCCCAGCTTGATGGGCAGCAACAATTGCTTCTCTAAGATCATTACCGATGTTTTTCCTTCTTGAAATTGTGTTAACACACTACTGAATGCTCCCGACCAGCAAACTGTTAAAACTTTGGCTATTATAGAGGTGTTCACACTTGCTGATGATCAATTAATCAAGGGCCTTTGATTAGCAGCACCTGTCTATTACTTAACCTCTTAATATCTATGAAAGTGGAAAGGGTGTACTTCGCTTTTCACACATAACTTCTCCATTTTACTTTATTTTAGTTAAATAAATCATGATACTGTGTAATATGTCATGTGTTGTTGTTTATCTGAGGTTGTGTTTACCTAATTTCAAGATCTATTAAGGAACAGATGATTGCAGGCCCGGACTAGCCATCGGGCAAACTGGGAAAATGCCCTGTGGGCTGCGATGACTATGGGCTGAGTCAGGCAGGGGAGATCACAGGATCTCCCCTGCCAGCCCAAGATGGACAGCATTGGCCCTAAGATGGACCACTGTTACATCATGGGCATGGAGGAGATATTCACAGGCATGGAGAGGAGGTACTGAGCTGCACACACTCCGTGCAAGTCATGCAACCTCCATCTCTCCCTCTCGCAAGCTCTGATATTGTCAGAGCGTTGCCATGGTAACCCAGGGCAAAGTTCTGATATACTGTCATTTGTGTGAGAGACCTGGTCTGTACCATGCAGAGGTAAAGACCAAATAACTGGCACACCAGGGATCAGCGTGCCCTCTCTCCCCTGCAAGGTAATAAGGGGCGGGGGTTTAAATGTGAAATAAGTATATGTATATTTTTTTTTAATGATTAAAAAAATTAAGCAACCATCCTACCCCCTTAAAACAAGCTACTCCCCAAATAAAGAATTTTAAAAAACCAACAGACTACACCCTCTGCCATCCTACTCCCTATAAACACACTACACCCCCTGTCACCCTACCCCCTATAAACACACTACACCCCTTGCACATATTACTCCCTATAAACACAAAACCTAAACAGCCACACTGACAGAGAGACACACACTTGCAGACACACACATACAGACATACAGTCATATACACACAAACACACAACAGACTGTCAGGCACAAACACACACTGACAGACACACATTTTCTCACACACTCACATATTTTTATTATTTTATTTTAATCTAAATCCACCGTTACCTTTCGGAGAGCTGAAGTAGATCTTGTCCCTGGGGTCCATTGGGGCTGCTCTCTAATGTTCCTGCATTGCTCCCTCACGCACCAACATCACTACAGAAACTGCTCCCTTGGCGTCTGCCTGCATTGCTTGCCGGCCACCTCCATACTCCCTCGCTGCCTCAGTGGTATTCTGTGAGATTACCGACCGTCTCCAATGCTCCCCAGACCAGTGTCCACTGTCTTTCTAGTTTTTCTCTCTTGTTCCCGTCTGCCACTTCTTCTTCCTCTAGGCTTAGGGTTCTTTTTTGTGATCGTGACGGGTGGGGTGTTTGATTCAAAGTGCTTGGGTGAGTGCGAATTTCTAAAAAATTATCCTCATTTTCGAATTCAGAATCGATTGATAGCAGTTGATATCTATTGGAGTGGTAATGGATTGTATAGTGTGACGCCAGTAGCTCCACCCTAACCGTACCATTTCCTATGGACCTACATCTGAAGGGGGCCCAGGAATTGTGCGGTTTAGTTCAGTTGTATGGGCCACGTTCATAATGGAAACACTCAAAATAGCGTACAAGACCGTACCGACTCGAACTGTACCACTCTGGAAACGGGGCATTAGTGTCCATCTGCCCCTGATCCCTCACTATTGGCAAATAAAGGGTTAAAAAAACGTACCTGATTCCAGAACCCAGTTCCCTCTGCACTGGATCGATCTCCTTTTCCACCACAGAAAATTAGGTATTGGAAGCTGCTAATAGTCTGTATCTTGAGGACAGAGTGGAGGGGTTAACCCTTCGTGAAAATAGGATATAGAGAGCAAAGGAGCAAAATCTGTCCTAATAAATCAATTAGTAAATAATTTGTAATGAATAAAATATAATGTATAATTAGTATATTTAAAATAAGGATGGAGTAACCTTAGAACACGAGGATACTGGGAGTGAGGGAATATATACAGGGGATAAGGTATATATACACAGGATAATATTAATAAATATACACAGGATAATATCAAATAATAAGTACCTAAGTGGAGTGAACAGTAAGGAGAATATAGAGTACTGAGTTCCCCCATACGTAAATCATCACTGTATATCAGTTATTTAAACTTCTCATCGGGAGGAATAGTTACTTTCCAATATAGTCCTATGGCTGGAAAATAGTAACAAACTAAGCATATACTTATATCTGAAACAATGTAACAGATGTGTCTATTTAACGAAAAAAATAAGTGAAATGAAAATCAAAACGGAACAGGGAGGGGAATGTCACCTAAATGTCTAGTTAGGGAAAATAAATAAATAAAAAATAAACAAACAAAATAATGCTAATGCAAATAATAGGGATATCCAAGCTACTACGTTTCATGGGTTTGCTGAAACGAAAAAGAAATATAGCTGGTGCTGATAGTATAAAGAGAAGCCCCAATCAGTATGATAGTAATTAATATTATCTATTCGAAAAGAATATCGCGGTTAATAAATGCCGATATCGGTCAGGAATTACTAACCCTGCGTCTGTGCCTTTAAGGGCACCTGATATCTAGAATAAGCTGTGGACAATAAAATTCCCTATAACTGCACTAACTAAACTCTTACATCCACCACAGCAACCAGACACTTAAGTCTAACAGTCTAACCCCTGCAATGTAAATATTGCAGTTTTTCTAACATAATGTATATAAGGATCTGAGGCGCTTTCCCTTTAAATAAAATAAAAATTGTTTTTACTTTTAAAGCCCACCCAGGGCGAAATGCGTAAGTCACGTGGTGCCGACAAGACGGATCTGGCGTTCAAGGAGGTGAAGCACCAAGCGAGATGATCGGTGGACGACGAACTCGTTTGTAACAGTGATTTACCCCACGAACTGTGAGCCAGTCTAATAGACTTACAATACTTTTATTTGTATTTTAAAGTTTTTTTATTTATTTACTTTTTGTGGATGCCAAATAAAGCATTATAAGATTGGAGACGAAAACAACTGTTTATCATTATCTTCACAACCCACTGTGTCGCTACAGCTCTTAAGTCCCAATATAGTACATGATCTGAGATTTGATAAAAGTGCAGCAATAGTGCACTTTTACAAGGTAAGAACTCCACATAGGGTGTGTTTGGTGGAGGTTCCTCGCGCAATAATATTACACCATCATAAGTCTCTCTTCCCCCTCAGGTAGTCTTTTTTATCATCCCAAAAGTGTTGGAGAAATACAAATTTTGAGGAGGTAGTTCATTACCTTCAATTTACAAAAGAGCTGAATATGCTTGACTGGAGATTGGGATAGAAAACACTGGAACCCACTCTAATAACATATCAGTAATGCTTATGATACATTGATAGTTTAACCCCTTAAGGACCAAACTTCTGGAATAAAATGGAATCATGACATGTCACACATGTCATGTGTCCATAAGGGGTTAAACAACATAGAAAGTTACTCTGATACAACATTGATTTCCTAATTTGCATTTATTTCAAAATGTTTTCTGACATACATAGTACATTCTTAAAGTTACGTGTTTCTCAAGTTTACTCATTAGAGAAAAAATAAAAATATGTACACAAAATTATTTTAGCTAATTATGTGTGATAACTAAACTTACTAACAATCTACTAATGTATTAAAAATAGAATGTTCCCAGAAAGTAGGATTTTTTTTTTCAAAAAGACTAAACATTATATTTTATTAATAATATGCGTTTATTTTTATTTCATTGAAAAGCATCTGCTGAATATAAAAACTGTATATCTAAATATATTGTTACAGACATAAGTACTATTATTTTGGATTATGTAAGATTTTGCTTTTTATTATTTTATAGTTTGAATGAATATCACCTGCAGCCATATAAGACAAGGGAAGGGTGCAGATAGGTTTATGACTAGGAGAACATTAAAACATCTTCTGTTTAATTTCATAGGCATAATTTATTAGAACACTTGTGTAAGGTTTTGTGCAGGAGGAGTTGTACCTTTAAATCTAAACTGTTAGTGAACCCAGTAACAAATGTCATTATTTCTTTGAGCAATATGTCCCATGTGTGTTAGACACTGACAAACATTTTTGACAAGCTTGCTTTTATTCTATTTGCAGATAGGTGGATGACTATTTTATCAGTTAGCTGTCTTATGTCTCCTATTTTAATTTTCTTTGGCTAAACCTTAAACTGTTGATTTTATTTTTCCATGTTAAATTAAAATATATAATTTATAGATAAAATCAGTAAAAACACAAGTGATTACAAGATGATAATGGAAAGTCAGAAGAGGTGTAACTCAAGGGCTCTGCAACGTTTCCAGTTGATCCAGTTTAAAAATGTTCTTTCCAATCCAATGTACAAAAAAAAAACCCCACTTAAGTAAAATCCACAGTTGTGTCCTAGTCCGTTGCCTAAAATAGCAAAATCTTAACCTCCATTAGCAATGTTAAAAAATCAAAGGAATTAGAGCTTTTCTTTCTTTGGGATAGTCCTTGAAAACCTGGAGATAATACCTGGTAAGAGAAGAAAAAGATATACATTGCTGTTTGGACCAATACAAAAATACAATAGCTCCATAGTGCCCACTAGTGGTCACATATTACAATCTTGACAGCAGCTTTTTTGAAAAAAAAACAAAAAACATTTTCCACAATTCACATATCGCACAGTTACAGTTAGGTCCAGAAATATTTGGACACTGACACAATTTTGGCTCTGTACGCCACCACAAGGGATTTGAAATGAAACAACCGAGAAGCAATTGAAGTGCAGATTTTTAGCTTTAATTCAAAGGGTTGAACAAAAATAGCGTATAAAACTTTTGGAATGGCAACCATTTTTATACACAGTCCTCTTATTGCACGGGCTCATGTGTAAAAGGACAAATTCACACAAGCCCAGTTTACTTTAGTGTTGCTTAATATTGTAGTTTGGTTAACGTGCCCTCAAAGGCCCTTTGAGGGATAGACTCACACAGATAGGACTGAAAATATTTACATAATTTAATTCAATGTAATTGAAATGGATTTGAAATTAAACAACCAAGATGCAAATGAAGTGGAGACTTCCAGCTTTAATTTAAGGGGTTGAACAAAAATAATGTATGAAACGATTAGGAACTACAACCATTTTCATACACAGTCCCCTTATTTCAGGGGCTCAAATGTAATTGGGCAAATTAATACAATCATAAATAAAATGGTAATTTGTAATACTTTGTTAAGAATCCTTTGCAGGTAATGACTGCTTTAAGTCTGGAACACGTGGACATCACCAAACACTGGGTTTATTTGGGCTGCTTTGCCAGGTCTTTACTGCAGATTTCTTCGGTTGTTGTTTGTTCGTGGGTTTTTCTGCCTTCAGTTTTGTCTTCAGTAAGTGAAATGCATGCTGGATCGGGTTGAGATCAGGTGTTTGAGTCAACCATTGCAGAATATTCTATTTGTTTGCCTTAAAAGCAGACAATATATCTCTATGAACTTCAGAATTCATCCGGCTGCTTCTGTCACATCAATAAACACTAGTGCAAAAATATACAAAAGAAGGATCGGCGCTAATCTGTCAGTGGGTAGGCAGCAACCACAATAAAGGGGATCCCTCTCACCCTTTAAACAGAAAACAGAAATGCACAAAAGAAAACTAGTGGGATATAGTCACTGTTAGAAAGGAACTTTTGTTCCACACCAAATGGTGTCTTTATGGTATATTCAGTGGCAGTTGTGGATTCCTGAGGCTTGGGAATGGTACTTGTAAACAGTCTCTCCGATATTTGGTCATATAAAATGGAGAAAAGAAGAGGACCAAATAGTGCAATATGTCTCATATAAAGTGATTATAGTGGAATAATAATAATACACTCAGATTTGGCAGACCTATGGCCAGCTTTAGTGTCTAGCGCTTGTAGTGGTACAATCACAACTTCGGGATATAGTGTTGATATCCTCAATCATTGGGTTACTTGGAGCTCAAATGACAATAAAGGTAGGAAGGCAAAAATAGTACTCTCAATAAGATAAAACCAAGTTTAAAAATATATAATATACTCACACAGCATAGAGCAGGCTGACTGCTCTGTGGTATTGGCACAAACCTAGATGTATTTGACCAAAAAGGATTCCTTTATTGCAATACAAAGTAAAAACCTCCAATAATGCGTTTCGGCATTGTGACTTTCTCAACTGGAGCAAGAATTGGATTCTTGTTCCATTTGAGAAAGCCACAACGGCGAAACGCGTTATTGGATGTTTTTACTTTGTATTGC